AGCATCATCGCATTATGCTATGAAAATACTAACCTTCTTGGAAAATCAAAATATCCCGTATGTACCAGCAAACCAACCAACTTGCCTCAGTGTCGCCCAATTGATTTTTTTTTAAATGTGAGGTCTTTGGTGTACAAAAACAATTCGAGGTCCAAGAATTGCTACCAGCTGATAAACCGAATCAAAAGTTGCATTCGTAAAATCGATTCAAATGCTGTACAACGCTCATGTTCTCACTTCATGACAAAGATACGTCAAACAACTGATTTCCCCGAAAGCCTTTGTGTTGCTGAGTTTAGCGACTGCCCCCCCCCCCTGCCCCCATCTGGCTACGCCTATGACCGCCATTTATGCGGTGGATGGTACCGTCAATCATAAACTAGTTATCTACTGAAAATCACCTGAAATGGTTGAAGGACACCCACCGTATAAAGTCTGGTCCACTTAGAATCAGGACACTTTATTTATTCTATAGCAGCGACTCTTGTGGTCGGATTTGGAATGTTTGTAACAGCGATTTGTTTTAAAAATACACGTTTTTCAGTGGTGACAGTTTCAACTCGATACGTGCAGCATTAAAAAATTTGAGCTACATAGATGGAAGACGAGAAAAGAAAATTGATCCTGCACACCCACGTCGAAAACCCGACGTGGTCAATTCGAAATATCGCGAAAAAGTTGAAAATTTCCGATTTCAGACAGGTTCCCCGACTTAGACATGAATGCACTATGCAAGTGTAAAATGTCTCTAATAATAAAAAAAAAAAACAGGTTCCCCGACAAAAGTTGTCACTGGCCACAGCACGATGTCCTCAGTAAATTCAAGTTTGTTTTTGCATATAAATTCGCCTGGAAACTGATGATCTGGCAAGGAATTTGCAGCTGCGGACTCAAAACTAAGCTTTTCATCACCAACAAAACTATAGACTCGAAGCTATATAAGCAAGAGTGCCTGAAGAAATGTACACTACCTTTCATTAAGGCTCACAAAGGTCCAGTGATGTTCTGGCCAGATTCGGCAAGCTGCCACCACAGCCAGGAGGTGTTACAGTGGTACCACGACAATAAGGTGGATTTCGTCGACAAGGATATCAATCCACCCAACTGCCCGTAAATCCATCCAATCGAAAAGTATTGAGCAATTATCAAGCGGAAGTTAAAGAAAACTGAAATAATGACTCAGGACGCTGCACAGATGGCTCGACGTTGGAAAAAAAATGGCCACTGAGATTGACCTGTCCAGTGTGCGTCAGATGATAGCAGGAATTCCGATGAAGGAATTTCGCATTTTTTTTATGAAAGAACTATAAAATACCTTAATTTTGATTAAATTACAATCTTCATCACAAATCAATCCCGAGAAACACCTGGTTTTATGTGTCTGGATTCTAAGTAGACCAGGCTTTAAATGGCGGGATTACTATATTATTTTACAGAAGAGATGCAGTACTGAAAAATTTCGCCCCAGGTAGGAGACACACATACATAATTCAAAGAGCTTCCTTATGTTCACGATATGCTCACCTAACATTTTTCCTCAATGGGAGTTTAAAAGATTGTTTACGAAAAAACATAAACAAACCACTGCAATCTGTCAAATTCCTATACCTCATCAATAATAATAAGTAAGATTCCCTTAAAAAAATATAAAAAATTAACCGGATTTGTAAGGAATCACCGCATGAACAGATTCTGCAGTGTGGTTGTCGGAAGACTTTTCAAATAATTGTGTAAACTTAAACTTAGCCAATTTTATGAAGTAAATACATTGCCAGCAATACATTATAACAAAAAATTATATTATGAAGATTTTGAAAAAAAAAAAATCATTCTGGAAAGTTGCTGGTTCACTACAGGTGTGTTAATTCGGTAATGTCGGTAATGGGGTCGGCAATAGAGCTCGTCAGCTTCCAAATCCGAAGCAAAACACATCCAATACCTTTCTTTATCTATCAATCCCACTTACTTTGAACCACATTTGGATACTTTGACTATATGTTTAGTATTACTTCTGCGTGAAGTCAACGATTTACATAGTTGAAGATGCTAATTTCAAATAACAGACTGTAGTGGTAATTTTTATACAATAGATGGAGTAGATGAAAGTATAGAGTTGATAGTTCCGTTAGAGTACGGCAGTGTGAAAATTGCATATAGATAGTAGAATAGAAAGCTAGGACAACTTTTAAGCAAGGTACAAATTGGTTTTTTCATATCTCTTTACCAAACTCCCCCTTTAGAGAGGGATGGTGAGGGGTGTCCCCCCGCCACCACTGGCAAAAAGAGATGAAAGCCGACCGCTCAAGTACCAACGATGTGTTTGAAACAGTTCTACCGATTTTTACCGCACTTCAGTTGTTATTTGAAGGAAGGCATCCAGTCGTAGGTTTGGAAATTGCAACTATTGTTTACCCCTACCACGATATGTGCTCCTGTCATCGTCGACTTGACGATCTCGAGGGGACACGGGTGGGGTAGGTGCTGCTACTGTACCTTTCGACCAATGACAGTAATTGATGGTATGCTCCCATCCAGAGTTATGTACTTTGACTATATGTTTAGTATTACTTCTGCGTGAAGTCAACGATTTACATAGTTGAAGATGCTAATTTCAAATAACAGACTGTAGTGGTAATTTTTATACGATAGATGGAGTAGATGAAGGTATAGAGTTGATAGTTCCGTTAGAGTACGGCAGTGTGAAAATTGCATATAGATAGTAGAATAGCACCATCCCTCTCCAAAGGGGGAGTTTGGTAAAGAGAGATGAAAAAACCGATTTGTACCTTCCTTAAAAGTTGTCCTAGCTCGCTATTCTAGGTCATAGGTTATTTTAACCAAAATTTTGACAAGAACTCCAAACGAATTTAGGAATGTGTTCCAAGGGAATTGCGAGTAGAACTCCTTTGCCATCTGAATCTGAAGTTCCAGAAGAATTCTTAAGAGAATATCGATTTTATGATAAAATTCAAAAAGGAGATCACTAATTGTAATTGTAATTTAATTAGTCATACGTCATCCTGGTGGATGAACCAGGTAGTAGTATTAGTTATTAGTAGAAACCAGTAACGCTGGTAGATCACTTTTTCGTGGTGCATTACTGGTATAAGATCTACCACTAAACCCTAGTCCTGACAACTTCAAACTGGATAATTTTAATTTGTTGATTGTATTATTATTTTAATTTTCTATTTATTTTACAGAATATTTAAATTGTGCGTATGGTAGACGGGCTCCGGGTCGTTTGCAGCCATTTCTGAACCAAGTGACGTATGCTTGATCCGGTTCGAAAGACATTGTTAACTGCTTTTGGGGATGTCACTTCATGTTAATAGCTTCTTGTAACCGATAATGAACGATCGTCTTAGCTTGTTGGTATTTAAGGGGCACGATGGCCTTAGAGTGACCGTTTTTGCTTACTAAACAGAAGATCATGGGTTAGCACCCAAGCCCCTTTACATTACTGAGTTGATAGGGTCGCGTCATTTGCTTACCAGGCTTTAAAAGATCGCATCACTTTCCAATGTAAACCCAGTTCTAATTCACCCTTCCCACTAACAAAAACATTCTTCCCGTGACAACGGGTTTCGAAATAACAATCCTTTCCCTCCCCGATGGCCGTAAGGCGCCGTTATTGATCTAAAAAATAATATTAATAAAGATTCACCGGATTTTACACACTGAGAATGGATCGCCAATCCCAAGCTCCATTCATATGGTTCTTTGTGCAAATTTCGATAAATCTGTTCAATTACGGAGTAGCAACTACTGCTATTTATGGTCGTCAATGCTCATGCTCATGCTCAGAATTCCAAGGTAGGTCACTTGCAAATTCTCATTACAGCTAAAATGCTATTTTCAGAGTTATACAACTATGATATATAATAATAACAATTGTTATATGTAAGATGCAAGAAGAGGACGTAAAGTTTGTGTATTTACATAAAACCTGTCAATTTTGCGTTCAGAGGGCCACAATTAGCGATTTTAGCTGTAATGTGTAATCGCGATGAATGAGCAATCAACGTGGCACTCTGAAAGCGAAATTGACAGGTTTTGTGTGTCAAACTTCACCTCCTCTTCCTGCATCTTACAAATAAAAGATATCATTATAATATTTAATAGTTTCATAATTCCGAATAATAGCATTTTTGCTGTAATGAGCAATTGCAAGCTTGGGTCAAACTCAGAGCTTTTGAGGAGCTTTTTTAAGAGAATTTCATCAGAATATTGAGATCAATTTCAATGGAAATTTAAGATAAACTTCAACGGGTAAACTGGATATGGAATGAAAGTAACCATCCGAAGCAAAGTAGCTTCGACTCAAGTGGTTATTCTTCTTCTACCTGTCTTTGACCCTCTTAAACGAGCAACTTAGTGTTCTTGATGCACTTCCACAATTATTAATTGAGAGCTTTCTATGCCAACCAATGCATGAATTTGTAGTCGGGGAAGTCGAGTGTGGTGAGGATGTTAATTCTTTAAAATATTAAGGTACATACAATCTCTGTTCCAGTTAAGTTAAGCCGCCGTTTTCACGTGATTTTGAACTATTAAATCAGAACTTTTTCATTCATAAAGTGCCTCAATCTACAGCAGATTGCTTAAATGCGTACTCTTCATCCGGTGTAATCATTAAAATAATAACACATCTCAAATGGCAGAGATTTTACATACATTAGGAACTGGTTTATTCCCGACGAAGCTTGTAATGATGCAAAAATTGTTGACAGCAAGCAATTAAATCATCCAGCAGTTTGCTGTAGGAAGATATTTAGACTGATGGTCAGAGATAGCTTAAGCTCAGTTAAAACTGTATATACATCCATCCCATTTCGTTCGGCGATCTTCCCTACCATCACACCTTATCAGAACTGTGTACGTTCACCAATTACCTTCCATATGAATATGAATAAGCGAGTATGAATATGAATGCGATTAAAATAAAACACAAGCAATGAAAGCCGGCTCAAAGCCAGGTCAGGCCGAGATATACGTACTTGATTACGGTTTGCATTGTTGTGCTGGTCATATCGGCACGGGAAAAGAGAAACCCACCGCAGCCGATCAACTATGTACTGGCGGTTACTTAATACACGGATTCACTCACTAATAACTTGGGTTTGTTTTCTTTTTCTCGGCTTTTGAATGGGTAATTTTCAGTTGCTTAAACAATGCTAATTTCTATTCATTCAATCTATTCCACTTCACTACCGCCGCTTCCTTCTCTTACACGGAACAGAAATTGATTTCGCAAGCTTCCCTTCCTTTTGCCTACATCATCTATGGGTTTCCTGTAAAAAGTCAATCAAAATTCTGCCTTAATAATTCGTATAACACTATCAATTTCACGCACTTCGTCGGCAAATAATTCAGTGTTTAGCGATCGCTAGGATGGCAGACAGAGAAAGTATAACACATGCGATATTACTGCTCATTAAAATCGTACTTTGCCATCTGCAGTGAGCGCCAGTTAGGTCTAGCTATTGATTTAAAAAATGCCTCGTGCTAATCAGTAATCAAATCACTGTCAACACGCAATCATTGTGCCCGAGTGGATGAGCCGGAACATTATAAGTACACTGATTTTCAACTGAAAAACGCTCGACCGTTGTGGAAGTTCCAACAATTGGCCAATGGTCACCCCGCTGAAGACCCACTGAAAGACGTTATGATCATACACATAGCTTTAAACCGTGGATTTCACACTTTTTTTTATTTTCTTCTCCCAAACGTCTTTCTCGTTGAATGACTTTCGAATTCTGCACGCCAGTTCACACGATCTTTCCTCAGGGTCTTCGGCCGGGTTATCTGCGTATAATACGTACAATAATTGTCTCGATTCTCGTCTCTTCACGAATTTTGTACCAAAATAATCGCGTATTTGTCCTATACTACAATCACATTTTTTATTCAACACAACCAGCTGATCGACGAAAGCACCTATGACCCTATATTAAATACCTCGCTAGTGAGAGTTATGCGATGAGAGTGCACTTCCGAAAGTAACAGACAGCTTCAGAGTGAGATTAGCCTATACGGCAAGCTCAAAGTGATAAATCGCGACAATCAATGGGACGACGACGAAAAAAAAGCTCGACCGTCTAGTGGGTCGGCTACGGAAGAACTAAACATTCACGTTGGCTGTTGCACAGTTTTATACCACGCGCACCATCAGGCATCACTTTGCTCGCGACCAGCAGCAACAGACATAAGAGCAGCGATGATGATGACGACGACGACCGACGACGACCAAGTGTGTAAAAAGCCCATGAACTAGCAAATGGTGCGTTTGTTCGCTGGATTGTGGTTCACTCATTTTCTCTGGTGGGTGCGCTCATTTTCTCATCTCAACGGTGTGATCTTTCCCGGATCGGAAAAACGTGCTTGGTACACTTCCTGATCCTGGATATAAATCTCATGGGAGCTAGCAAATTTAGCAATACCTACACTTTGGACTACTTATTTACTAAGACGACTTGCTTTTAAAAAATATATATTTTACATAGGGTAGAGAACTACTTTATACCTTGGGCGCTTATACCGCCCATTTCCGTCCTCAAATATATCAATGATTTAAACGTGAACGAATCAATCATACGATACGATAGTTTAATTAAAAATCTACAAAACAAAGTCTATAAGAACCCATAATATGAATATTTACATCCATTCTTTTCAAAAACAAAAGAAGCGCTCCTTTCCATTTTTTTTTCTGCCTTCATCCGTATGCCAAAGTGAATCCAATGAAGTTTCAATGTGTTTGGACAGAATTGAAACTCGTAGGGGAAATGTTGGCTTCGGCAATACCTTGACCTATTATCGTCAGGGGGGTAAACAACGTCCTTGAGAGCTCAATTTTGGCATAGGGATACATTGTGTTTCAGAGCATCTATTGGCCAAATTTGAGTGCTCTAGGACTTTGTTTACCCCCTGACGATAATAGGTTAAGGTATTGCCGAAGTCAACATTTCCCCTATGACGGAATTGGAATCAAGAAGCAGTGTTAGATTTTTAACAATATCTCAACTATGTGTGACTCTTTTTCAAATCTAACGGTACGTATGGAAAGGTACATACATTAAGAAGTTATCTATGGTATAATCATTCCATAACGGCGCCGGTGGTGCAGTGGTAAGCGTGATTACCTCTCACCCCAGCAGGCCTGGGATCAATCCCAGTCGGCGCCGCCGAGATGTTCTGAGGCATAACATCTCTGATCACGGGAAGTAAAGCCGTTGGTCCCCGGCTCATGAGTTGATGGGTCGATAGGTAGGATCCAGGTGTGGGAGCTGCCTCCCTGGCGTCGGTAACATTGGTGCTCAGCACGGAAAACAAGATCGACGGAAAACAAAGCAAAAGAAAAAAAAAAGAATCATTCCAATTTTTTTTTGTTTTTCCAAAAAAGTGTGGGTTGTGCTTAATATGACGGAAATATTAGAACATAACCAACCAGTGAGAAATTTCAATGTGAATTTAACATAGTTTTCAAATGATCTCATAATTGGAAATTGTACAACAAAATTACATGAACCTTACGTGTGCAATGGAATGTATACGATAACTCACAGATAATTTATTATGTTTTGTGATATTCAGATAAAAATTATTAATTTTGTTATTGGAAAAATATTATGTGCGTTACCAATAGAAACTATGTGAACACTTTTTTTCAGTGAATGCAAGGCTCTATCTGAATTATCGTACATACATTTTTGTACGCGAAAAAAGTTGAGACCTCCTTGTTTATTTTGATACCGGAATTTACTGCCACAAGCTTAGTTAAATTTTAGCTAAACAAATAGTCAATTTTTGGAACTACAAAAATCGCTGCACGAAATAGTTGTGAAAAAGCTATAAAAAACACATTTGAAAATTAAATCGTAGGGTAGGTGTACCAGTTATGGCCATACGTTCCTATTATGGTGTGTTCCAGTTATGGCCTATGGAATTCCCATAGGCCATAATTGGAACACACCATAATAGGAACGTATGCCATAACTGGTACATCTACCCTACGTGTTACCCCGTTGGCCTCAGTGCTGACACGAAATACAAAGAACCAGTGCGTTGAAGTTAAAATGCAATTAAAAATACTTTATGTAATTAATGCGTTTTGAAGTAGTATTGACAGTAATTAAAATTAACTATCCGTACTTAATGTAATTAAAAAGTATAGAGTTCTCTACCACCGTTAGTATTAGTGAGCAGTTTCACTTATACATGCGTTTTACTGGTTGAAAATAAAAAACAAACCGCTGTCAAGTCGAACACTTTGACAGCTGATTTCGTGGTTGAAAATAATAAACAAATCGATTTTACACGCCTGTAATTAATGGACTTAAAAAGTAGTTAATGTTCTACACAGTGTAGTTAATGTAATTAATATATTACTTGCTCGTTTTTGCGTAAAATAATCAATATTTATTTTACTTGTAATTACCTTTGAAAGTTTTTTTTTCAAGTTTTTTTTTGATCTGAAAATTAACCCAGTTTGGTTAGAAGTTTCGAAGCTAACGCATGTCCACAGGCCTAATAGAAAGATAGGCAGAAAAAGTGTATCATGAAGAATGGTTGCATGCAGGGTTGCTTCAACTCATTTGCTATAGATGAGTGATTTTCGGAGTTTTGAATTCGTTAGATGTTGTAATGGAGATTTGTGTTGTTGGATGCGGGAGGAGATTGGAGGGCGGGTGTTTGACGCATAGAGCCTGTCAATTTCGCTTTCAGAGTTATGATTCGTGAGCGCTCGCGATTCGTAGAATCGTTGATTGTGACTGCAAGTGGATTTGACGGGTTTTGTGTGTCGGACGCTTGCTTTTTGGCCTCTTCTTGTGTCTAACATGTGCAGAGTATCATTATAACGTCTAATGGTTTTGAGATTCCTGGTGGCGTGAAATATATTTGTGAGAATATCTTTTTGAGATTTTAGCAGTCACGTTTTGTTTGTAGTTTATATTTTATTTATTTCATGTAATTATCGTAAATAATAGTTATTCAAAGCGCTGTGGATTATAAGATGCTCGATGACCCTCGAGGGATCGATTTTGCTTACTGAGCAGAAAATCATGGATTTAACCCCAAGCTCTTCCACAGCACAATAAATCGCCAAAATCATTTGTATATTTGATATTGAACATTAACCTCGGAAACTATTTGCATATCAAGCGAAAACGTAGTCCTGTATTGTCGCGAAGCGTTATGGTTCTGAGATGCTCGATGACCCTGGAGGGATCGTTTTTGTTTACTGAGCAGAAAATCATGGGTTTAATCCCAAGCTCTCCATCATGACTCTTAAAATTCATTATCACTAAACAAAATTAATATGTTCTTTCGATAGCCGGCTATCGAGAGATTAAATAAACAACAAATAAACAATACATACTTTTGGTTGCATCGCCAACTTGAGGTGAATCCTAACCGAATACCCTACCCAACCATCCAACTCCGTAGCACTTATGAGGGTGTCACTAAGTCGGTGGCCTCTCGTTAATTAAGTACTACATCAACATTTCCTTCCCTGTCCCTAGTTATGGTAAAGATGGGCGTGGCCGAGAATAGCGACAGTCATGCTTCTGTTACTCTTGTTTAGATTGGAACCAATGTTTACTCCTCAGCATTATTCCTGAAAGTAGTCTAACTGAGAATTTCAGAAGAGACGTGAGTGTCGCTAGTATCCAATCTACGAAGTATATCATAACAACGCTAACGCTAACGCTAACACGGTGTAGTTAATGTAATTAAAGCAGTAGTTAATGGAATTAATTTAATTACAGTAGTTGCCTACGTCGGAGTTAAAGGTTATTGCGTGCCCCTCGGTTAATTGTTCGAAATTCAACATATATTGTTTTTTCCAAGTTCAATGACATTCATGCGAATTTTACTATATATTACATTTGATGAAGATCACTTGACCACTATGTTAGGATAGACCACTTGATCACAATGGAGCATTTCCTAATCTAATCTTATCTAATCTAACACCAACACAGCCAGTTCATGAAAGCATCCTGGAAAATGCTAGATATAGGGTAGATGTACCAGTTATGGCATACGTTCCTATTATGGTGTGTTCCAATTATGGCCTATGGGAATTCCATAGGCCATAACTGGAACACACCATAATAGGAACGTATGGCCATAACTGGTACACCTACCCTACCTTCATAATTTTTCTTGTCTAATTGGTAGGGTAGATGCACCAGTTATGGCTATACGTTTCTATTATGATGTGTTCCAAATATGGCATATAGGAATTCCATAGGCCATAACTGGAACACACCATAATAGGAACGTATAGCCATAACTGGTACACCTACTCTATATGTTGCACATTATAGATGCGAAAAATATATTAAAACAGCTCAGAATTTAAGGGGCAAGATGATTCAGAAACATTGGGCCTGTTAAATGCTTCATAATCCAATAAATGGATGAAACGTGGACATACATATTTATTAATGATTGGTCGTTGGGAGCTTCTAGTCTAATAAGGGACATGAACACCAACTTATGGCTTATGGTTATAGGGTAGGGGGCTAAATTTTGAAAAAAAAGTAATGAGTTTCTGATTGGCCACCCTCCACTTTGATTAATAACCCCAAATATAAGCCTGTTCAAAAAATGGTAAAGATTTATCGGGTCGAGGTCTAGAGGTCGCGCAAATTATTTGAAGTTTGGAGATTTCGGTGAGTTAGTTTGGAAAATTATTGATTTTCACTTACATTGCTCTAACTGTGGTTGCAGTTGTCCAAATATTGAAAAAAAAAAGTATGTGATTATAATGAGAGAGAGAAGGATTAGTAATTTCCATTTAATTCCACTAGGGTTAACTACCCCATTTCCGGCCTATTAAGCACAACCCGCACTTAGTATTTCTTAATCTAGCGCAGTTTAGCACCAAACGGAATGTTATTATTACTGATGCCTTCAAAATTTATTAACCTTTCTGTATGTACCAATCGATTTGATAAAGAGAAACCAATCGTTGAGATATTGTCAAAAGTCTAACACTGCTTCTTGACGCCAAACTCGGCCTACGAATTCTAAACTCGTCCTAATGCATTGAAACGCCATTGAAACGCCACTTCGGCCTATCGGATGAAGATAAAAATTGATTCGGTTGGAGCGCTTCTTTTGTTT